TATATATATATATATTAATATAAATATCAAATAATTATTTTTCACGTAGGGTTTTTATGCAATATTTGCGGTTTTAATAATTCCAAGTCGAATGAAGGCCAGGCGTCTTCGTTGGTCAGATCAAATTCGCAAGAAGAGGAATGGGATTATTGCGACGAGGAGGATTGCGAGAACAAGTAACAAATGTCACGAATATGACGAATTCCAGCGAAAACTTCGTCGTCGATAAATAGTACAGCGAAACTTTTATATTGCACGCATGCCAAAAACGTTAATAAACGAAAAATTAATGAACAACATGACGGAAAGGGGAAACGAGAATGGGTTGAAATTACAAAAGATATTTTCTTGCGAAAGCAGAAGGAGTTTTACACTACCGTATTAAAAAATAAAATTTTAGTCTCTCGAAGTGATCTCGAGTTGTTTGACTTTTTTTTTTTACTAGTATTATAATTATAATTAAAATAATATAACGTAAATATATTTATTTACATTATATCATTATTCTGCTATTATTATAATAATAAAGTGTAAATAGGTAAAAAGGAACGTACAGATGAAACCAAACGAAAGGCTGCGATATTTTAGAGAATCCAAGAGATGGAAGTTCCTTTTTGAATTGTAGACAGCTTGTTCAAGGGTTCAAAACTACAAAGAAAACCAAGTCCAAGTTGAGGTTGTTCGATACTTTTACTTTGTCTCTCTTTAATGGAAACTCAGTGAATTTCAAGAAAGAAACACGTGTACAAACTGTATATCTGAACACTCGTTGAAGCTTGATCCAGCCTGGCAATCTAGGGGAAACCCATCAGGCCATCATTTCATCATGGAAAACCCATCTGCCAGACTGAACTTGGTTCACTATGATATCGTTAATCGTTCCTTTGAAATATTTCACTCTTTACTCTCAATTTTCCTGATAAATTTCACCGTTTAACCATTCACTTACACGATAGTTTTATTCGTACATTTGCTTATCGACTTTGTATTAAAATTAAGCGGTGTTCGACGTTTGATCAGAACGAGTCCCCTTAAACGTTATACTAGGACAGATCGTCTCGTAATTGTGCACGTCTTTTCCCCTATATTTTATATTTCGTCTGTCTTTTTTTTCCCAACAATAATTAACTGAACCGCCTGGTTAGACGTATTTTTTTTTTTTTTTTTTTTTTTTTTTTTTTTCTTTAAGGCTGTGTCTTTCTTTCGTTTCTCGCATTGTCTCTTTCTCCTAGAACACTTCAGCTTTACGTTCATTTATCACACAAGGGTAAGTGAAACATTCGGCTAAATATAAGGATGTTGATCGGTAAATTATCATCGGTAGTTATTATCGGTAAATTATCTTGTTGTAAATTATCACGTGACTATTTATTTATTCATGAAAAATTAAGTTCAATTTTTTTTTATTAAATTTCAGCTCCTCCTCGCGGATGATTAATTATTTATTTTTCGATTGTCTTCCACGTATATTGTTCTTTGTAAAAGGAAAAGAACACGTTCTTAGGAGAAAGGGACGACGCAGTATATGTATATGTACATTTCGATAATTCACACAACTCGTACGAAGAGAATCTCGAGCAACCTTACAACGATAATGGTAAGAAGAAGAATATCAGCAGCGATAAGAGCGTTAAATAGTATTACGATAACAATAGTTATAATGTAAACGGTAGAAATCTAGTGTCTTTCGTGACATTTCCGGAATCGCCCTTAAGTATCCTCAGAATTCGTGGATCTTCATTCTCGAAGACACGTTCGTGTCTTAGAGCCTTGATAATCTGTATACGAACATTTCATATTTCTAAGATTATTTTTCAGAAATAATGCCATTCCATTAGCGACTTTGTACTCTTTTCTTTTCGCGCGATACAGATACGCGAAAGAGTACTGCGTAATTATAATTATTTACGAACGTCCAGTTCCACGGTCGTTTTGCCCTTCTGTAAATCGCGCAGGAGAAACATGTGCAATATTGCTATATAATTCCTTCGTTCCGTTCTAATCTGGAATTGCTTCCTCAGAGAAACCTCGAGTCCACTTTTCTCCCCGATGCGGCGAAAACGCAGGGGCACGTTCACTCAAGAAAAAAAAGAAAAAAAATCACTCGTGATTACAGCGTCACATGAAAACGTTCTCCAGCCCGGAAATATTCTTCCTGGTGGGCGTGGAGGTGGCGCAGCTTACACCCTCGTCTTCGAAGGTGACCATCTTCTCTCGACTCCTGGCCGCCGTTCCGGAGCACTCTAATAACCTGGCTTGATTCGACGATGCTGAATTCGAGGCGGCGGAGCCGATCGGCGGCGTTATGGCCGAAGATGGTCGGAGGACCGATGAAGGAGGCGGCGGTGGCACAGCCATGTCCGTGACTGCCGCTGCTGCCAGGTTGAACTCGCTCACGCTTCTAGGCACGAAATACTCAAAGTGTAGGGAGCTTTCCTGCTGGCGGTGTTGATGGTGTTGCTGATGATGGTACTGCGTTGGTGACAAGCAGCTGCGTCTCAGAGACTGGGCACGTTGGAACTGTTGGGTCGACGAATTCCTAGATTCAGACGGCGTTTTCTTTCGTGGCAGAGAATGATGGCCAGGTGATGGTTTTATGGCAGTGTTGGACGCGTGGGCCAGGAGCTTCCCATCGCCGGGGCTCCTGGCCTGATGCTGTCAGGATGTTGGCACCATGGACATGGCGATCGCCTCTTCTTCTTGTTCGGACAGTCGCGAGTCACTGGTGCCCCCTCCGTCATCCAAGTCGGCCTTGAGCCCAGGACTGGAACCTGATAAACGACACAGAAGCGTTTTATGGCCTTTTGTCCCCTAACGGATCAGAGAGTTTTCGATCTTTGATTTGATTAAACTGTATTTTAGTTTCTTTTTTTTTTTAAATGAAGGGGTTATGCAGAGTGGTCAAGATGCCCGATCGAAATCCCCGACGCGAGTGGATCAGAACCGCTCTACGTGCAAACAAATGAGAGTTCGACTCGTTTATTCGTGACGCCTTTGACACTTTGAGCCCGGGCTTAGTTGGAAACTTTGGCTTTAGGGTGGATAGCTGAAGTTTTGATAAGTTAGATGAAGGATGAAGAAGAGGTGATATTGTTAGATAATCGTCTTTGATGCACAAAGAAATAATACGTAAAACTTTGGTAAAAATGGTAATGATGGTTCTTGGTATAGCAAATACAGTGTATTTTCGAGAACATTGTAAGCTACAGATTTCTTTCTGATGAATAATGATATTAATCTTTTCCAGATGCAAAGCAGAATAGAAATTCCATTAGCTTTTTTAAAATTGTAAGTAGTATTATCTACATTTGTACAATACTGCCATACTAGCTGACCAGAATTATGACACACACGCGATTGCTTTTATTTATCAATCCTAAGTAAATGTATTTGCAAAGAAAGCCTAGGTTTTATAAAAAAAAGAAAAAACGTGGTAACCAGTGCACAGCACTATGATAAATTATTGCTTGCTCCTCAATGGATTGACGTGGATTGACCATGGACCGACAGTAGTGAGCTAATATGGTACTTCTGTTACAGAGAAATAATGTGTATAATCATCGCCAGGCTCAAAGCGTTCAGGTAATCTAAAGCGTGGCCGAGTAAAACAGTCTCTCGCCCGGAACGATCTAGCGGTTCCCCGTCGAATGCCTGCATCAGGGATACCTGTACCACCGATAGGTCCGACCACCACCCCCGACGACATGCCGCAGGTTCTACCGAAGACCCTGACCACGCGTACCACCTCCTCCTGGACGAGGTTGAAGCACATGGCGATCAGGCCCATCCCGGCGAGTATGTAGAGCGAGCAGGCGCACAGGCTAAGCTCCTCCAAGGTGGGGGACGCGGCGTTTCGTCCAACTGGCATCAGGTCGCCGAAACCGATTGTTCCGAGACTGGTGAAGCAGAAGTAGCCACCTTCCAGCAGACTCCAACCCTCCAGACGATTGAACATCACCGCGCCACCGCATATGTAGATTAACATAATCACTAGGCAGAGACTGATCGGTATCCTCACGGGATTCGTTTCCACCACGTAGCCTGGTGACGAGTTCGTCGACAGGGACAGCGAGCACGGGTGGAAATGGCGTTTGCTGTTACCTGATGCCACGTCCTGAAAGAAATTCAAACGTTTCCTCTTGCCACGTATTCCTCGCGAATATGCATTTCTCAAAGGGTAGAAATTATCTGGCAGCTTGCGAGCAAAAGAATTATTTATTAAAACTTGCAAAACATTGGAGACAATAAGATGGAGACTGTAGTAAAACAGCTACCAAGTATTACTTTCGTAATTATTCTAATTATTCATATTTTCACTTGTAAACTTTCCTAGCAGATTCTTCACTTTTGCTTTTGCACATTTCCCAGGAGAACGATTATCCTGCAACAGGCCCAGTGTTCTCACCAGTAGATTGTCCAGCCAATCAAGCTTTGCGATACCACTTACTTACTTTTTTCTAAAAGTGAGAAATCATGCTTTTAGAATGAAATACACGTCATACCTGAAGTGCTGCGGTGGAGCTGGTGGTAGCATGAAGCAATCCTTCGCTTCCGCAATCCAATAAGATGGCACTGCTGGTGCCTCGGGTTCCCAGATCGTCGCAAGAACTCTCCCTGCTAGCTGAATAGTAATTTCCAGATTTCGAATCGACGTGGTTATCATATCTGTAAGTTTTGCTCATAATGCCACCCACAGGAGGAGGCGGTGGTGGCGGTTGTTGCTTTCTGGCGCAATTTCGAGGCCTGCACAGTCTGCCATACAAACGGCGGAAGCTCCTTGAGAGAACGTCACCAACCGTGCTTAAATAGACCAGCATTAGGGGGATCCCAGCCAGAGCGTACACTATTGTGATCAAACGACCCCAGACTGTGCGAGGCGCCACGCTACCGTATCCTGAAACGCCAATTGAGTTGTATCACAATCGACTGTTATTAAAGGAACAAGCGAGCACTGGTTGAACACAAGGCGTTTAATAGATGTGTTTACAGTCAATTCGGTCAATTGTCAGGAAAAACATCCGACCGGATGTTGTGTTGCCTTTGTACCTCAATTTTTGT